TCATAATTATCCGTTTTTATTTTGCTTCGTTAATTTGCCGGTGTAATCATTTGTTCATAAGTAATTATTCACACAGCATCATAAATTGTTATTCACACAGCATCAGAAATGTTATGGAGAAAATTAAGGGGGAAGTAGAGAGAAAATTTTCTCTCCTCGAATTCGTCCTATCCGACATTCTTTTTTTCTTTGCTTACTTCTCCGGAATTGGTTCTAGCCGGCGTTTGGAAAGGCTTCAGCTCCATCTCTTTTGATACATACGGCTCTTCATCTTCGGTGTGATTCCCTTTCGGTGAAGTTTTGGTTTCTTTTCCTATATCTCAGCAGCGCAGCGTTTCTTTGTAGCTCTGTCATGGTCTGCCGGTGGTTGTGCGGTGGCGGCTGGGTTAAGCTCTACAGCCGGATCTTTGAGGCGAGCTCTGGTTTGTGTGCTCTCTTCCATGAGCTTCTGTTGTGATCTTATCTGGTGGTTCTCTCAGAATAACACATCTCGGTGTAGCGGTGTAGTGGTGGATCTGACAGCATGGTGGTGACGGTGTAGCGGCGAGTGGTCTCTTTGTTGTTGGCTAGTCGGATGTCTCTCTGGATTGTTAGATAGGTTAGGGGTTAGCTGATCTATGCTTTGCAGAGTTTTCTCGGGGAGTTCTTCATCTCAGCAATCTTTCCCTTTCAGCTCTGGCTTTTCTCCTCATAATGAAGGTAAAGCTGCTTCTCGTTCTGTCTTATGTCATCTCAGTTTACTCTCCTTGGGATGTTGCGTTGGATTGTGACTGGGGATTTTGTTCTGCATCGGCCTGTCGCAGAGGTTGTACTCGCGTCTTCACCGTACTCAGAGGTTTTGAGCTTTCCGGTTGGTGTCTTCGTACTGTTCGGCTAGTATTGATCGGGAAACACTTAACCTATGCCGTCGATTATGGTTTCCTCATGTTGCTTCAGTGGTGGTTCTGCCTAGCCTTGCCCATTTTAACCGAAACCGAACCGAAAAAGATAGTTTGGCATACAAGTCAAATAATAAAACTTTATCTCCAATATTTAATTCCAAAAATTATTCAGTGATTTTGACTATTCTTTTAAAGAGTCAAAAACCTTAATGCTCCATCAATGTTTT